GAAGGGGAGGGAGAGGAGGGTCTACCGAAGGAGTTATTGATCAGTCATGTGTGAATTCCGTATCGGAAGCCCAAAGGAAACCTCGTGAGCTATGATGGCAAGACGGTGTTGCTGCTGCAGAGGATTTTGGTTTTTCTTGTTATGTGATATTTATCGATGGATTATTTTGTGTGGTTTAGGCGAAGTGGAAGGTAAATGGATTTTATTTCTTAGATATTTTGTGTGATTTTAGACGGGAGAGAGAAAATGATACCAATATTCAAAGATTTTTGGCTATCATCTTGAAATCTGATTTTAGACGAAGGAAAAGATCAAGGATGTTTACGTACTTATTTTGAAATATGCGATAGCTGCTTTAAAAACTGATTTGTGTCAGTAGAAATGTCTTGCGGTTGTGACTGCAAAATCCTCCATGATTCGTAGTTTAAGGCTGTAAATCCTTTGTTATAGCATCAAAAAAAGTCTTTCGTACATTTTCAAAGAGGATTTTTAAGAGGCAATGCAAAAGCTCGCAGAATTCGGCCCGCTGGCCCTTAAATTTGGACAATAATATACCAAAGTGATGCTTGGGATTACATTATTTGTAGTAAATCTAAGTAATGGCTCGATGTGATGACACAAGGGCTATAAAAAGTCCCGCCGCGTCTTCTTCCCCGAGTGAACGAGAGAGGATGATAAACTGTGAATACATTTCTGCCAACGTTTTCTACGGGAGTTTCTCTCAGTGGCAGCAAACAGACCTACATGCACGCACACACGTACAAAGGTACGCACACATAAATGCACGCAAGGACAAACACAAACGCACACATACATCTATGTATACATCTATATATTTCTACCTATCTGACCTATTTATCCATTGATCTGTCTGTCTGTCTTTCAGTGTGTGTGCGCGTCAGAAAATATTTCAGGTTGCAACATCACTTCTCATAACTTACCATGACTTTATTAATAATATCCTACATAACAACAAAGACAATATAAAGGCCACTTGGTAGCGAATGATAAGCTGAACAAATGGCTCTGCATTGAACTGGTACCCCCGCCATTATATAACAGGACGGCAATTTCGCAGACACGAGGGGGAAAAAGGGACAGGAAAAAAGACAAAGACAGGCTCGTAAAACATGACGCAGACACAGAAAGTGAGACAGAGAGAGAGAGAGAGAGAGAGAGAGAGAGAGACCTGGCGAAGACAGAGGATGAAATACAGATGAAAAAAAAATGTTTTTCACAGACACAGACACAAAAACAAAAAAAAAATAAGACAGAAAAAGAAGAAAACCGCTGACACAGACAGTGACAGAGACATTAAATAGACAGTCGAAAAATAAAATAAAAATGACAGGCAAAGAGAACAAAGAAAAGAAAAATGACAGGCAAAAAATGAGCCATAGACACAGACACAGCCCCCGGGCCCTCCCCCCTCACTAGACCAGCCAACACAGCCTTGCCCTCCGCCCCGGCGCCAGAACTCCTTCACCGCCCACGCAACCTAACAGGGCGTCTCCTCTGGCGCCAGGATATTATCCCGAGGGCGGTTCGAGTCCCCCTCCGACTCTCCCTCGCCCCTCACCCCTCTCCCCCGGCCGGGTCATGGGTGTGGGCGTGAGACATGGCCACCGGACATATCACAGAGTCAGCTGATCGGCCATCTCCTTTGTTCTGGTTGGCGCCATATTCTCATCTTGCTGTATTCCTTCTCCATCTCTACGGCAAGCATTTTAATTTGTTTGATTTGCCGTCGACAGTTTCCCCTTTATATGTGCCTTTGTTCGTTGCTTATTCCGTTATTCTTTCATTTTTAGTAGGCCTTTGATTACGATTTTCCTTTTCCTCACTTTCACTTTCCACTTTCTACTTTCGGAAACTCCGAATCTGCTCCCTGGCTCCGTCTTCGAAGCTCCGAATCTGCTCCCTGGCTCCGTCTTCGAAGCTCCGAATCTGCTCCCTGAAGCTCGAATCTGTTCCCTGGTCCGTCTTCGAAAGCTCGAATCTGTTCCCTGGCTCCGTCTTCGAAGCTCCGAATCTGTTCCCTGGCTCCGTCTTCGAAGCTCCGAATCTGCTCTGTGCTCCGGGCTCCGAATCTGCTCGGCTCCGTCGAAGCTCGAATTGCTCCCTGGCTCCGTCTTCGAAGCTCCGAATCTGCCTCTGGTCCGTCTTCGAAGCTCCGAATCTGCTCTCCTCTCCGCTTCGAACTCCGAATCTGCTCCCGGCTCCGTCTTCGAAGCTCCGAATCTGCTCCCCTGGCTCCGTCTTCGAAGCTCCGAATACTGCTTCTGGCTCCGTCTTCGAAGCTCCGAAATCCGCTCTCTGCTCCGAAGCTTCCCCTGAAGCTCTCTCTGGGCTCCGAATCTTCAAGCTCCGAATCTGCTCCCTGGCTCTCTCGTCCGTTCGAAGCTCCGAAAGCTCGCTGGCTCCGTCTTCGAAGCTCCGAATCTGCTTGGCTCCCTGGCTCCGTCTTCGAAGCCCGAATCTGCTCCCTGGCTCCGTCTTCGAAGCTCCGAATCTGCTCCTGGCTCCGTCTTCGAAGCTCCGAATCTTGCTCCCTGGCTCCGTCTTCGAAGCTCCGAATCTGTTCCTGGCTCCGTCTTCGAAGCTTCCGAATCCTGGCTCCTGGCTCCGTCTTCGAAGCTTCCGAATGCTCCCTGGCTTCCGTCTTCGAAGCTCCGAATCTGCTCCCTGGCTCCGTCTTCGAAGCTCTCCGAATCTGCCCTGGCTTCCCTGGCTCGGGTCTTCGAAGCTCCGGAAGCTCCGAATCTGAAGCTCCGAATCTGCGGCTCCGTCTTCGAAGCTCCGAATAAGCTCCGAATCTGCTCCTGGCTCCGTCTTCGAAGCTCCGAATCTGCTCCCCTGGCTCCGTCTTCGAAGCTCCGAATCTGCTCCTGGCTCCGTCTTCGAAGCTCCGAATCTGTTCCCTGAAGCTCTTCCGAAAGCTCCGAATCTGTCCCTGGCTCCGTCTTCGAAGCTCCGAATCTGTTCCCTGGCTCCGTCTTCGAAGCTCCGAATCTGCTCCCTGGCTCCGTCTTCGAAGCTCCGAATCTGGCTCCGTCTTCGAAGCTCCTGTCCTGCTCCGTCTTCGAAAGCTCCGAATCTGCTCCCTGGCTCCGTCTCGAAGCTCGAATCTGTTCCCTGGCTCCGTCTTCGAAGCTCCGAATCTGCTCCCTGGCTCCGTCTTCGAAGCTCCGAATCTGTTCCCTGGCTCCGTCTTCGAAGCTCCGAATCTGCTCCTGGCTCCGTCTTCGAAGCTCCGAATCTGTCCTGGCTCCGTCTTCGAAGCTCCGAATCTGTTCCCTGGCTCCGTCTTCGAAGCTCCGAATCTGCTCCCTGAAGCTCTCTCCCTGGTCCGTCTTCGAAGCTCCGAATCTGTTCCCTGGCTCCGTCTTCGAAGCTCCGAATCTGCTCCCTGGCTCCGTCTTCGAAGCTCCGAAGCTCCGAATCTGTTCCCTGGCTCCGTCTTCGAAGCTCCGAATCTGTTCCCTGGCTCCGTCTTCGAAGCTCCGAATCTGTTCCCTGGCTCCGTCTTCGAAGCTCGAATCTCAAGCTCCGATCTGCCCTGGCTCCGTCTTCGAAGCTCCGAATCTGCTCCTGGCTCCGTCTTTCGAAGCTCCGAATCTGTTCCCTGGCTCCGTCTTCGAAGCTCCGAATCTGTTCCCTGGCTCCGTCTTCGAAGCTCCGAATCTGCTCCCTGGCTCCGTCTTCGAAGCTCCGAATCTGCTCCCTGGCTCCGTCTTCGAAGCTCCGAATCTGTTCCCTGGCTCCGTCTTCGAAGCTCCGAATCTGCTCCCTGGCTCCGTCTTCGAAGCTCCGAATCTGCTCCTGGCTCCGTCTTCGAAGCTCCGAATCTGTTCCCTGGCTCCGTCTTCGAAGCTCCGAATCTGCCTCTCCGTCTTCGAAGCTCCGAATCTGTTCCCTGGCTCCGTCTTCGAAGCTCCGAATCTGCTCCCTCCGTCTTCGAAGCTCCGAATCTGTCCCTGGCTCCGTCTTCGAAGCTCCGAATCTGCTTCCCTGGCTCCGTCTTCGAAGCTCCGAATCTGGGCTTCTTCGAAGCTCCGAATAAGCTTCCGAATCTGCTCCCTGAAGCTCCGAATCTCCTGGCTCCGTCTTCGAAGCTCCGATCTGCTCCCTGGCTCCGTCTTCGAAGCTCCGAATCTGCTCCCTGGCTCCGTCTTCGAAGCTCCGAATCTGTTCCCTGGCTCCGTCTTCGAAGCTCCGAATCTGTTCCCTGGCTCCGTCTGAAGCTCCGAATCTGCCCCTGGCTCTCTTCGAAGCTCCGAATCTGCTCCCTGTCTTCGAAGCTCCGAATCTGCTCCCTGGCTCCGTCTTCGAAGCTCCGAATCTGCTCCCTGGCTCCGTCCGAAGCTCCGAATCTGTCCTGGCTCCGTCTCGAAGCTCCGAATCTGTTCCCTGTCCGTCTTCGAAGCTCCGAATCTGCTCCTGGCTCCGTCTTCGAAGCTCCGTTCCCTGCTCCGAAGCTCCGAAATCTGTTCCCTGGCTCCGTCTTCGAAGCTCCGAATCTGTTCCCTGAAGCTCCGAATCAAAGCTCCGAATCTGTTCCCTTCCGTCTTCGAAGCTCCGAAATCATCTGAAGAATCCTCTGGCTCCGTCTTCAAAGCTCCGAATCTGTTCCCTGGCTCCGTCTTCGAAGGCTCCGAAAGCAATTGTTCCCTGGCTCCGTCTTTCGAAGCTCGAATCTGCTCCCTGGCTCCGTCTTCGAAGCTCCGAATCTGCTCCCTGGCTTCCGTCTTCGAAGCTCCGAATCTGTTCCCTGGCTCCGTCTTCGACTGAATCTGCTCCCTGGCTCCGTCTTCGAAGCTCCGAATCTGTTCCCTGGCTCCGTCTTCGAAGCCTCGTGATACTTTGAGACACTTGTCATCCCCAGGCCCTTCTTCTTCTCTCGTTATGAACCGCCTCACTGTCACACATATATTCTTATTTCCCTTTCTTCTGGGGCGCGTTTTGTTCGAGCGATGGAATGTAGCATCACGTTCCCGTGTAAAAATGCAGGCACACACACACACTCACACATCCGCATACACACACACACTACATACACTCTCTCCACTCCCCCACGTCTCTATCTTCCCCTTCTCACCCCCGCATCTCCATTCCGCACAACCTCCAACTACGCGATTGGTAGGTAGATTCCCCCTCCGCCCTCCCACCTCCTCCTCCCTCCCATAAAACCTTGTCCCGGACACTATCGCAGGTCCTGGTCCCTCCCCCCTCCCCCCTCCGTCAGCGATGTTTATGTACCTTCAGCCAGACAAACAATTTGATCTTCGTCTCGGACCTCCGTATCACCGATAATAAAAGCGATGAACGGTGCTCGCCTAAGGGTGGAAGTCCCCTGCGATCTCTTCAAGGGCATGAGGGTGGTAAGCTCCGTCAAAGCCACCCTCTCGTGCCCCTTGTTGTAGATGATGTGGGCCTTAAAGATTCGAGGCGTAATAACCCCTCTTATGGACCTTCGGAAAGACACTGTGTTGGCCCGGTTATTTCCTCTTCCTTATAGTTTCCTGAACTTATTTCTCATCTCGGGAGAGAGAGAGAGCCATGCGCCCCAACGATGGCTTTTATGAATGGAGTTAAAGTTGAGATGGCGCTCCGACGCTGCGTGGTGTGTCGTGGTGTGTCTGCGTGTGTGGCGAGTCCTCAAGCACAGAAACCTCTCCCTACAAGCATTATGGATACATGAGATGCCAAAGACATGTACGAGATATCTTATCTTGTACATATGCTGCCTCATCCTTATTCAAGCGAGCGCCGGGTCGTGGCCCGTTCCCCATTCATTCATTCATTCACTCAGTGAGCGAGGCCGCGTGAATGGAAGGTCAAGGAGAGTTATGAATGGAACTCAGAGGCGGGGACTCCAGGAACCACGGACGGTCGAGGAGCCACACTGGAATTTTCCTCAACAAATATCCAGCGTCTTTTCAGACTTCGGCTAGAGTTCCCTCCTCACAAATAGGCTTATCACGGACTCGTGTTTGTGCGGGGAGCAGAGACGCAGTCGGCGGCCACTCAATAAAAAGAGAAAACGAAGCTAAATGGAAAATCCCAGTGACTTCGTCAATCAGCCGATGGCCTGGGGGCCTCCGGGACTCCTGCGGCCGCTGGCGTCAGCACTGCCGTAGTCTCGTCATATTCCCTCGCTGTCCTCCCTGATGTGCCTCCCTGCCGCCCCCGCATTTCTCCCTGCTCTCTCTGCCGCTTTTTTCGTCTCTCTCGGACTGTTTGACCTAACAGTCGCTGCCCACTCTAACCCTTTCTGAAGGCCCTCCGTAATTTGTTTACCCTCTCTGACCCTCTGCCACCGCTTCCTGTCCACCATCCTCTGTTCCTTACATTCGGCCGCGGTTTCTTACATTCCTTCATATTTACGTTCTGTCCTCTACGTCGTCATCGCTATCCACTTCAATTATAATGCGTTGCTCACCACATTTCCCTTTTGAATTCGTTCCTTCATATTTTCTTCATTCACCCAAAGTCTAACATACTCCGGCTCAGTTTCTACTCGCCCGGGACATTCCTGACTACTGCTTCCTCTGCTTGCTGCCTGATGTTCACTTTGCTTTATGTGATTTTTGCTGATTTCGTGCCTCATTTCATCGATTCTTATAAACAGGGACGGGAGAGGGAGAGAGAGAGAGAGAGAGAGAGAGAGAGAGAGAGAGAGAGAGAGAGAGAGAGAGAGAGAGGAGAGAGAGAGAGAGAGAGAAGAGAGAGAGAGGAGAGTGAGAAAGAAAGAGAGGAAGGAGAGAGAAGAGAAAGAGAGGAAGGAGAAGAGAGAGAAAGAGAGGAAAGGAGAGAGAAGAGAGAGAGAGAGAAGAGAGAGGAGAGAGGAGAGAGGAGAGAGGAGAGGAGGAGAGAGGAGAGAGAGGGAGGAGAGAGGAGAGGGAGAGAGGGAGAGAAGAGGAGAGAAGAGAGGAGAGGAGAGAGGAAGAGAGGAGAGAGAGAGAGGAGAGAGGGAGAGAGAAGAAGAGAGAGAGAGAGGAGAGAGAGAGAGAGAGAGAGAGAGAGAGAGAGAGAGAAGAGAAGAGAGAGAGAGAGAGAGAGAGGAGAGAGAGAGAGAGAGAGAGAGGAGAGGGAGGGAGAGATGAGGAAGAAAGAGAGAGAGAGAAGAGAGAGAGAGAGAGAGAGAGAGAGAGAGAGGAGAGAGAGAGAGAGAGAGAGAGAGAGAGAGAGAAAGAGAGAGAGAAGAGAGAGAGAGAGAGAGAGAGAGAAACACAAA